ATGCACATATGATTAAAGTTATAGATCGTTGCATTCTTTGTAAGTGGGCAAACCTGCAAAATCAGCAAGGGGTCAAATACTTATTTCCCCCACTGTTTAAACTCCACTAAAGTACAGATACTGGGTTTTGGTTTCCCCACCGGTCAGAACCAGCCGCATGAGGACGTCCCTCAGGAAGGTGCTGTTGACCAGGTCCCAGAGCCAGTGGAAGTGTGTGAGGACGTAGTGCAGCACGTCTGGGCGGGGCCTCAGCAGCCGCCGCACCCGGGTCCCCAACTCCGCTGTGGAAAACAAACACACCCAGAGGAGGGTTGTCACGATACTAAAATGTTCAACTCCATACCGATACTCAGGAAAATACTCGATATCGTTTTCGATACCACAAGGGTAAAAACAAAACCCAAAAAGTAACTGAATTGTGTCTTTCATTTCAAACTGACCTGTTACTGATGTTATCGTGACTGGTGACCCACATTAATGACCCTAACCCTGACCCTAACCCTGACCCTAACTCTAACCCTGACCCTAACCCTAACCCTAACCATGACCCTAACCCTGATCCTGACTCTAACCCTAACCCTAACACTGACCCTGACCCTCCAGCCTTCACAATAGTGAGAAATAAATATTTTTTGGTTAAACTTGTTTGGACTTATTGTACAAACCTATTTAACATCCACCATTATAACATAATATTATGGATAGAGTTTAATTCAGTGTTTGCAAGATTCATTTCACTATTTTTAAATTAATGTCTATATTGCCACGAAGCAATTAGGATTTTCTTGCCTGGGATCTTCCTATTGGTGACCTAATCAAAATGGCCGACTTGGATGTGGGCGGAGTTGGATATGTACTTGATTAGTGGTAACATGTTATTATTTGCCATTAGCCGCAGCTAGCAAGGCTAAAGTCTTGTTAATGATCATAAACAACGTAAATAAATACATGAATAAATCAGAGAGAAGGGGGTGGTATGGATACTTTTGAAAATGAGTATCGTATCCGGATACAACATTTTAGTATCAATACTTTTTCGAGTATAGATACTTTTGACAACCCTAACCCAGAGGAGGTTTGGTTACCGGGAACGGGGGGGGAGGAAACCCACCGGGGTCACCTCCCCCCCCCACAGGGCCCTAGGAACCCAGGGTTAGGGTTAGGGTTAGGGTTAGGGTTAGGGGGGCTGGACTTCCCCTCCGTTTCATGAGGCCTGACTACAGCTCCCAGGGTTCCTACGGTAACGAACTGATGCCTCCACCAATCAGGAGGGGCCACAGGTTGGGTTTAAGGAGCCAGGAGTCCAGGATCCGGAGTCTAGCATGAATTAACTTAAAACTATCCACAATCGGAAGCTAAAGCCGATAAGAATAGTTTTTTTTTCTGATTTTGACCAAAAGGACTGACTCCCGGATGGATGCCCTCCCTCCCAGAGATGTATAAAGTACTGGAGTAGAGGAGTGGAGTAGAAGTGCATGTACTATATAAAAAAAATGACTTGAGTAAAAGTAGAAGTGTTCTTTCAACTCCATACTTAAGTGGAAGTACGGAAGTACTCAATTTTTTTTGTACTTAAGTATTGCAAGTAGAAGTATTTAAAAAATTGCTACTCAAGTATCGAAAGTACAAGTAAAAGTACAAGTACTGTGTATATTTAAAAAAAGGCAGTTAAAAGTTTGATAGATATTGTTTAGATTATTTCAAACGTGTGAAAGACACACTACCACTTTAAAAGGCCATAAAGGGGTTTACAAAAAACAGAAAACTACATGTGCATTAGCAATCAACAGCACTTGGGGATGATTCATTACGTTTACATATCAGTAACGAGTAACGATTCAGTAAAATGTATTAAATCAATCAAAAATACGTAGTGGAGTAAAAGTAAAAGTAGGTAAAAAAACATATATACTCCAATAAAGTACAGATACTGCATTTTGGTACTTAATTACACCACTTAAGTAGTTCTACTTCGTTAATGAACATCTCCGCTCCCTCCCGCCTGTCCAGGAATTAGCTGATTCCTTACTTGCATTAAGTTCTTCTTGTCTTCATCAGTGTTAGTCATGCTTTTTGTTTTCTTGAACTGTCACCGGTGGAGTGGGTGACGTGCCAATAACAGTTGTTACTTCCTGTAGGCGTGGCCACGCCCACCGCCGCCCATTGGTCTCTGGAGGATGCTGCCCCATGTGGGTGAAAGGAGAAATTTCATCCTTCATCTCGGTTGATGGTTTCTGTGCCTAGCCTCCTGATTTCAATCGCCTCCTTTATCCAGCGCTTGAATTTGTTGGTTTCGGATCCAACGATGTGTGCCTTATCCCAGTCCATAATGCGGTTATTTTTCTTTCGCAGTGATCCGATATGGCCGACTTCAGGTTTTCTCGTTCCGCTTTGTCTTTTTTTTGTTCTTGTGAGTCTCCCTGTTGTTTCTTTTTCACACTCTGTTTGGTTCTCCCGGTGACAGTTCTGAGGACGGCTTGCAGCTAGCTGCCGAAACATGTCAACAAGGTAAAAACCAGAGGTGTGACCAAGTCACTGTGCAAGTCTCGAGTAAGTCTCAAGTCTCTGCCCTCAAGTCCGAGTCAAGTCTCAAGTAAAGACAGGTAAAGTCGAGTCAAGTCTCAAGTCGTGATTTTAACGACTCGAGTCTGACTCGAGTCCAAGTCATGTGACTCGAGTCGTCAACTATCTTACAGCAAAAGAAAAGTGCCACCTACCGATCTTTGTGAAGCTTGTGAAGTTGGACGTCGTGGCATCTCCATCCGATATTCTCTTCTTGCATGTTTTACAAGTTGCAGTTTGTTTTTTAGTCGAAATTTCATAACCTACGTAGCCAAAAGAAATTACTCGTGGAAGCATATTCGAGTTATTTCGTATTTCGTTCCCTGAGCTCTGTAGCTTCGCCGCGTTTTTTTAAACGTCCAAATCCTGTTGATTTGATTGGTTGTGCTGCAGCTACGTACACATCCATACATAAGTAGAGAGGAAAAACACAGTGAGGGTCTGTGCATATTGATACGGAATGAGTGAGATTAATTAATGACGCCACTTTATAAATAATGCGTTTTAAATTTTAAGACTTTGAGTAAAAAAATATCAAGTCTTTTCAAGTAAACAGCTTCAAGTCGAGTCAAGTCCGAAGTCAGTGGCATGAAAGTCAAAGTCAAGTCCGAGTCTTTGAGCATTTTTTCAAGTCAAGTCTCAAGTCGTGATTTTAACGACTCGAGTCCAAGTCATGTGACTCGAGTCCCCACCTCTGGTAAAAACACTCTTGTGGACTATCGTTGTCTGACCCGAAGAAAACAAAAAGCATGACTAGCTGATTCCTTCCCTCCCGCTCCGTCTCTCTGTTGTCGGTTTGTTTTAGGCTTGACGGGCTGATTAGTGTGGGAGGATTCTTTGTTAATAGGAAGCAGACCGGCCTGTGGAGGCCTCTGAGCTCCAAACCAGCTGCTCCCTCTCTATCCCCCCCCTCCACCTCTAAATATTTGGGTCCACACAAGAAGTTTTACTTTCCCGAGCCAGGAGGACCACCTCCAGGTTTAAGGATAACACCAGCAGGAGGCTATTCATTGATGTTCCTTTTGTAATAACTGTGCAATAATATGTATATATATGCTCTTACCCTGTATATATCTAGCTCTTACAGTGGGGGAAATAAGCATTTGACCCCTTGCTGATTTTGCAGGTTTGCCCACTTACAAAGAATGCAACGATATATATCTTTAATCATATGTACATTCTAACAGTGAAAGACAGAATCCCAAAGAAAATTCCAGAAAATCACATCATATGAATTTATAGAAATGATAACCATCTGATGAGGAAAAATAAGCATTCTTTGTAAGTGGGCAAAGGGGTCAAATACTTATTTCCCCTACTGTAGAAATAGAAAACATATTTATTAAGTAGGAATAAGGTCTTAGCTCTGTCACACTGGTAGCCAAGTAACGAAATTTCGTTGTCAAGATTCACCTTGTGTTTTTTGTACAATGACAATAAAGGAAGTCTACAGTGGGGGAAATAAGTATTTGACCCCTTGCTGCTTTTGCAGGTTTGCCCACTTACAAAGAATGCTTATTTTTCCTCATCAGATGGTTATCAGTTTTTATAAATTCATATGATGTGATTTTCTGGAATTTTCTTTGGGATTCTGTCTCTCACTGTTAGAATGTACATATGATTAAAGTTATATATCGTTGCATTCTTTGTAAGTGGGCAAACCTGCAAAATCAGCAAGGGGTCAAATACTTATTTCCCCCACTGTATATATCCAGCTCTTAGTTATAAAAAACATATTTATTGTGTAGGAATAAGGCCTTAACTCTGTCACACTGGTAGCCAAGTCATCGACATTTCGTTGTCAAGATTCAGAATGTGTTTTTTGTACAATGACAATAAAGGAAGTCTAAGTCTAAATCTAAGATTCCTGCAGAGGCCCCGCCCACTCACGGATGCTGCAGTTGGGCCCGTAGTAGCCGGTCCGGGTGCAGTCGCACTCGTACCGGTCCTCATCAAAGCGGACGCACACGCCCCAGTGCTGGCAGGGGAAATGGCAGCAGGGGTTCACTGTGGGAGGAAAAAGACGATCAGAATTCATAAGGAGGACCCCCAAACCTGCTGTTAGCATCTAGCTAAAGCTAATCATTTTGGCGTAGTGCGTTATAACATGATCTATGTCGATTACTGATTGTTTTATTCTTTTTAGAAGTTTACTTTTGTGTTGTGACAACAGACTCTCTCCTTTCCTGTCTTTTCCTTTCTCTCTTTTTCTCTCTCTGTTGCAATAGATCCACCTTTAGGTCAACACAAACACACACCATTTGTTACCACACAACCTCTGCGGGACGATGGTATATTGGGATTTCAGAGTGGAAATGACCAGTTGATACCAGCCAAAGCAGCAAAAAAAAACAACATGAGAGGTCAATGGTTTTGTTAGAATTTGGTTAAAATTACTCACTTTAGCATTGTATGCTATCACATGATCTATGTAAATTACTGATTTTTTCATTTCCGTTTATAACTATATTTTTGTGTTAAAGTCCTCTCTCTGTTCCATTAGATCCACCTTTAGCTCAACACAAACACACACACACCATTTGTTTCCACATTCCTGTCATCTGCATGAATTAGGACCTGGCCTGTTCGTGCCCAGAGGTAACTGGCCAATAGGACTTGGTTGTGTCCAGTCCTCCTTTGAGGAGGCGGATCGAGCCCAGGAGATAATGCCCATCACCCAGATCTCAGGGCTCTTTGCCCACTGAGACCCAGAGAGAGGTTTTAGTCTGTTAGAGCCCAGTTGATATACTTAACTGTGTCCAATAAATGTTGTTTTTTCTACTTTTGGTCTACTCTTGTTTATTCTCAGGTTTCCAACTAAAGAATCGGGATAACACGGCCTCCAAAAAGCAGACTACAGATCACATGACGGCCTATTCCTGCACTATGTCCCCAAAGAAAGACAAAAAAAAGTTCAAAACCACGTGTATTCTGCTTCCTAGATCGGTTTTCCAAGCACAGAAGTGTTTGATAAAAAGAAAGATTGGAAGTCTAAACGATAAATCATCATGTAAAGCTTTCAGAATCTCTTAGCAGTGAAAAAACAAAGTTCATTTCCAGAAAAATACATATGCTTAGCTGTTTAGTGCCCCTTCTGAAGGCCAGTCAGAAGTTACAGCCACTTTTCCACATGGAGCCGTAATTCAGATCAACAAAATGATGGTTTTTATCTCTTTTTGCTGTTTCTCTTGAGCTTTTAACTACACTGAAAATCCTGAAAGCGATAAAACCAATTATTTATTTATGCTACATTTCTGTTTAATACTCATCCGCTGGAATTTTAGACCAAAAAAACGGGTGTTTTGGTTTCAGGGAGAAGTTCATTCACAGGTTTAGTTCAGTTTTTGCTCATCAAGGCCGGAAACGAGCCAAACCGATTTTCAAATCCAGACTCGTTCACGCCAAACTAAACGGTTACATCACGTGTTT